CAGGTGACTCAACCAACAACACATTCTATGAGGTTTGGAAGCAGGAGTGGCATCCACTTCCTAACCAATATGCCTCCAGAAACTCTATGAACTTTGATAAATATCAACAGTTGTAGAGGGGCTTTAGGCCTTTTCTTCATAGGGTCGCTATGAGTCATACTTAACTTGAAGGCAATCAACAAGAATAACTGTTCACCTTACAGACCTATTGTTTGGCAGAAAGGTGGTATAAGTTTCACAAATCTCTAGCAGACCAGTAATTCTGCTCTTTTTTATGAATTTAAATTTTGAAATCTGCCTGAGAAGAAGTGCATCCAGAACTCTCCTTATACTGTGGGTGAGATTTCAGGAAGGGCCAGTCTCTAAAGGACATCAGATTTAGAAAAGCAGAGTTAGTGGAAAATTGAATAACCCTCTAGGAAGCAAACTGACACAGTGGCTGGAATAATGGGTTTAAATACAACAGAGTTTGTGAAAATGGTGCTGCTGCAACTGTTGTTATTGTTGACTGAAGTCAAGTCAAGCACAACCCAAAGTGACCCTATGAACAAAAGGCCTGAAGTCATTCTATAACTATCTACAGGAAGTGGATGCCACTCTTTTGGTATAATGTTCTGTTGTACATATGGGGACTGTGAGTTGGAGCCAACTCAATGGCTTCTAACAACAAGAAGTAAGTCAAGGGGCCTCAGGTTACCTAATGCTATATCTGTTATGGTTATTTAGTATATTGACCATGATTCCTTTTCAATTGGGACATTGTGCACAAATTTCTGAAATTCCCAAACTTAATTTTGAATGACATTACAAATACAACTGGAATATAAATATATAGGGGGATATATCTTAGAACCATTGCGGTCTACAGAGAAGGACATTATACATCCACCACTGCCTCTTCTATGACATCTACTTCTAAGGTTCTAGTCTCAGAACTTTTTCTATTTTAGTCAGGATTTTCCTAATAAAAGGCCCACATTCTTTTTCTTCTTGTTACTGTATGCTTTCAGGTGAGAGGTGACCCATAGCTGACCTTCCAGTTGGTTTTCAGAGGCAATAAATCACATGGGAGGAGAGAGTCCATTCTTCTCCCACAGATGAGCTGGTGGATTTGA